GCCTACTAGACAAATTGAAGGCTCAGGGATATATTGGGGAAGATCCCCTCAAACACTGGAAGAAAAACAAGATAATGTGCAAATTGGAAATCAAAAATCAGGATTTCACAGTAGAAGACAAACCCCTGAGGCATCTAACACCACAAGCGAAAGAAGCTTTTTCTAAGCACGTAAAGGCATTACTGGAGATTGGGGTCATCAGGCCTAGCAAAAGTAAGCACCGAACAACTGTTAACAGGTTTTCATTTTTGGCTTCAGACCCGCTCATTGGTCAGATTTACCTAGTCCTGTTGTGATAAGGCATGCCTAATACCATGAAGTTTGCAGCTAATGTAAACTCTATGTCATTCACCAATTACTGTTAACAGTTGGAATTTTCATTTGCTTAGTATCTTTTTTATTGGGTGTCAAACTTTCAACTGGCAAAGTTAAACGTTGAAACCAACAAATTGCTGTCAGTTCTATCTGAAGTGTAATCTTATATTTATCACTCATTTGGTTGGTCCAAGAATGCCAAAGAAGGAAGACAGACGAAGTGAGACATAACGAGGATGACCTATGTACACCATTCATCCAGGGCTTTCTTGGTCAGTTCACTGGCCCTCCCAATTTGATCTTCCATTTTCAGCATGACTCACCTGATCCATCACCTATAACACCTTCGCTGACGGAGGAAGTCAAAGTCCAAAGAGTGGTGGCTAGCCACGGAGTTGACTCCAATAGTAGATGTCAAGAAGGGGATAGGCAGTTAAGGTGCAGGACTTGTTGCTAGCTACTAGGAAAGCAACTTGCACACTAGCTAGGGGAAAGACATGTCATGCAGAAAACAGGCACTAAGAAGAAAGAATTCCATTGACACTTAAAACTTTTTCCCTATCCTCCTGCTATTTCAAAAATTCCCAAAAAACCTTCTTTTGATATTGAATACAAATCAAACTGCACCCAACCAACTCAACTTAAAAACAGGGGATAACTCAGAATCCAAGACGAGACTGCAAAAACACTGATCCAATCATTCAGAATCCAAGATCACCTACTACGAACAAATCAACTGCATTCGGACTGAGGAAGTCAAGGTGCATAAAAGAAAATGTAAATTGGGGGCGGCTGACAAAACAAGTTTTAGAACAAAGCAGAAAGAAAAGCACCAAGAATGAAATCAGTACTTATCTTTTTCGACCCAAGGGGCCTGTTTAGAATAGACTGAAATGACAAAAAGGCTGAAAGACAACTCTCTCTCATTAATATTACCAAGAAATGCAGAAATATAAAATCTACTTTCAAGGACTGCTACTCTATAACTCACTAATTTTTGCTATATCAGTAAAAATGCAAATTGTTGCTGTATGAGTAGGAATAGTGGCATCAAGGGTAATATGTTTGCCAGGAAAAGAAACCAGAAACAGGTTGAGTTGATTGTCTGTGACTTGTGTGGGATTGGCAATTAAAGAGATAATAAATAGAAATGGCTGTCGCCATGAAAAGGATAATCAGAACTCCAGGTTCAAATTTTTTTCCAGTGTAGTTATTCAGAAGCAGAATCTACCTGTATGATTGTTTTTTTTTTACATTTTTTAATAATTTTGAACATGATATGATTTTCATTTGTTCAATATTTTGTGAACCCTCAAGGATTTGAAACAACTATATCTTTGAGGACCAAAGCTCAGGTTTTAGTTGAAGAACCAAGTAAAATAGCAAGCATTGTTTACTAGGTTGCTAAAATAAAATAAATTGCTCAATTGTTCAACTCTCGTTTTTGATCTATGTAGTCATAATTTGCTTAATATAAATGGACTCTTTTGTTTGGAAGGTAAGAATGATTCTTACCTATGATTATGATCATCCCATGTATTGTGTATAGAACAGTTTTATTTGAGGACCTTTCAAGTAAATAGAGCACTTCTATTTTGGTACAAGGAAGCATTTAATATCATATGTTCTCATTTCATGGCTTTTCAGCCTCCTCTGTGGGAATGTTACCAGCAGCAACTAAAGGAGTGGGAATCAAGCATGAACAAAATGCCTATCCAGCCTGAAGGTTGCCAGGACAAAGCATCTTCTCAGAAGAAACCACCTATTTTTGCCTTCTGTTTGAGACCACGAGGCTTGGAAATACCAAACAAAGGTTCAAAGCAGAGGTCTCATAAGAAGCTTATGTTCACTGGTCATCATAATGCTTTAATGAGAGATCAAGATGGTTCCAATACATTTGGTACTCCTATTAATTTTTCCATTTCTTTTGGTTCTTTGTTTTCTTTATTGATAATGTCTTACTGCTTTTGTGGCAGCAGGGAGAAAAATCGATGGAGTTTCAGTTGGTGAGGTTGCTATCTCCAGCTATGAATCTTCTGATTCTTATCATGGGCTTCAGTACCGATCTACCTTTTCACCAAGGGATACTGCAAGCACAGAATCTTTATATACTAATGATGGTTCAGAGAGATATCCAGAACCAAAGTTTTACAGAAATATTTCAAAAAAGATTGATGCGTTCCTATCCCCGAGGGATCCTCAAGAAACACCATTGTCATATAACCAAAGATCAAATAGAAATGGAATCAATAAACGGAGTTATGAATTTTGTGAATGGTCCAGCATAAAGCAATCTCAATGCACTGGATTTCAGAGACATCACACTGACATGGATGAGTTCAGGCTGCGCGATGCAACAACTGCAGCTCAGCATGCATTGAACATGGCTAGACTTAAAAGAGAGAAAGCACAGTGGTTGCTACACAAAGCGGATCTTGCGCTTCATAGAGCCACGGTTGCAATTATGACTGCAGAGGCAATAAAAGCATCTGAGAAGGATACTGTTGGTGATGGGTAATACGAGGAATCAGGGATATCTTGGTCAGATATATGACAAATTGATTTTTCATGTGTTTTATCAGTTTTCTGGATAAAAGCTTCTTTGGAGATTGGTTTTGGCATATTCGTCTTCAAGGGCCTCTGATTAGTGAATGTTTGATGGATTCCAAGTGTTGTCGATATGGGAACCATGCAGAGACAGAAATGGGTTTTTTTGAGAATTTTGTTCAGCTGCTTCAGTTCAACTGTCAGCTTTCAAATGTAGTCTTCTCTAAAGGGGATTTCTTATCCCTCGAGATAGTTGTAGTTTTTTGTGCTAATCATGTACAGAACTTTTCTTTGTTCTTTTTACCTGTATTTCTGCAAATGTCTAATGAAGCGTTTTGTACGAAGTTCTTCGGTGCCTCACAGATTTACCTTGTTATTAGATTATTGGCAATCTGAGGAGTGTTGTGCGGCGATCATATCTACATGTAATAAATTAAATTATTTGGTATGAAAAATTATTTGGATTTTTATGTTTATTTTTTTTTTAAAAAAAATCAGATTTAAATTATGATATTTAAAAAAAAGGGGTGACTATTTGGTCCGGTCTTGCATGAGAGAAATTGGGAGGGGTTGATCTAAGCTACTTAATCAAATTTTTTGAAAAAAAAATTAAACCAATTAATCTTGAAACCAAGCTACTTCCCCTCTGGTTCATGTTCTAAATTTAAAGGACCATGTTTTTATGGTGATAAATTTTTTATAATTTTATAAAGATTAATTAATTTTATA